TTTTGGATTGGGCCCATTGCGGGGGTGTGGATATCATTGGTCTGCTGAAGCCCAGGATTTTCCACTTAATTGAACGCAGCGTTTTGGTGTGGAAATTTCCCTCCGTTTTTGAAATTGAATTGGAGCCGTGCGATCATGCGAAGAAGTCAAAGATCTGGGACCATCCAACGGCGGGAGTTCATCGTCCCCAAACATACCCTAGGGTTTTCAGAAACCCTAACTCCATGCAAGGATTTCAACTCCTTCGTTCTCCTCCATTACTCAATGAATTCACGAACTTCCAAAAGCAAACTTGCTCTACTAATCACCCAGAACACAATGATGCCAATAGTCTTCCCTGAAACCTTTTGTATTGTTCTAACAGGATGCACGAATGTTAGGGTTCCACCATGGTTCTCTGCTATCAACCTTAACCAAGCTCGAATCCAATGATCTAAACTTGTTCCTTAGGTTACCCTTATCACACTACACTATATCATATCCATTAATCCATCTTACACAGCTTATTAACAATCTTGCAAGAATTGGTACCCTGCCACGAAACCTCATGGATCTTCCTCTAACTCTCAGAAAATCTTCCTCTAACCTAGCATGTTGATCTTACACCTAGGATTCTAACAGAATGTACATAATTATGGACCTACAGATCAAGATACCAACCTGTCAAACTTCAATGGTGAGTGGTGTTAGAGCTTGATCTAGCACTTGAAACCTTCTCCAAATCTTCCTCCAATGATGAACACCTTTCTGTTTGCAAGAGTTGAGGTGGATGAAGCTTGTGGAAGAAGGAATTGGAACTTGCTTGATCTTGAAGAAACTTAGCAATGGCACTTTCTCTCTCAATCTCTCCAATGAACTCAGCAACTTTCACCAACCTTTCCCTCATTGTGATTCATCCTTCTTATAACAATCAAAAGAATAATCTAGAACTTCCTAGAATGAGCTAGAATGTTATAGAATTTCTCATGAGATGATACATTGCATAACCTTTATCTCATGCCTTAAGCTTGTCAAATTGGCTTTAAAATCTCCTTACAAGAGATATTGAGAAAGGATGAGTGAAAAACATGCACTTCCTTGCCTTTGGTGAAGTTTTATCAAGTTGCCTTATGATTCAAGTAACAATATTACAAAGTAACCTTCACTTTTGAGCTTCAAATCAAAATTTTGTTTAAACCAAAGTTTTTATAATGTCATTTAAATTCAAAATAATATATTGGATGACCTATTTTGGACTCATAGATCTCCCAAACCAAATTTCAACTTGACTTGAATTAACTTATAAGCCATTTTTAGGTCATTTTTACCCAATCTTGTAAATCCTTGATACAAGCTTTTTCAACAATTCATGACCTCTTTTCTAGGCTTAAAATGCCATTTTGAACAACTTTCATGTTTTGAGTTTTTCCATTTGAGGCTTGGAAATAGGAGATATGGCCTTTGCTTAAAATGACCTATAATTGCCAAATGACCAAAATACCCCTGTCTTGTTCAAACCATAAGTTGAGTTCTACAAATCCTATCAAGGACTTATAGTACTCTATAGAAAGCTAAGAAGATGCTCTTCAACATTCATGTTGACCAAGAGATCATAGGAATCATCCTACTAGGGCAAAAGTTGTCTGCAAGTTGGGTGACTTTCAAGGACCCAGATTCACACACCTCAGCTGACCTGTAATTTGTCAAAACCATAACTTGAGCTATGCAACTCCTATCAAGTACTTCTACCACTCAAATTAAATCTAAGAACAAGCTCTACAACATCATGTTGTGGGGAAGATGAGATATCAATTACATCTTGAGCTAAAACTGCCTGGAAGATAGGGATCAAATTAGGGTTTTTTCACTGACAATCCTTAGAAACCCTAACTCAAAACTTCTCAACCTCCTCAATCATGATGAGTTGGTCTAGGAATCATCTTTATAACATCTCCATACATCATTCCATGATCTCATGGCCCTTGGATTAAGTCTCAACCTTCTCCAAATCTTCAGTTGACTTAGGGTTGACCCAGTCAAAACCCTAATTCTACCATTCATGGTTGAATCTTCTGAACTCTTGCACAATGACCTCTATGGGCTTCATGATGGCTTTCAAGACATCTCATAAGCTTTCTCAAAGCATCAAGTTCATTCTCAAAGTCTCAGAATCATCTGAGGAGCACCCCCAACCCTCAAGTTATGAAGCACACAACTCTGGCTTCAATCAATTCTCTTGAGGATCTCTTGAACTTTCTGATGAAGGTATCAACCTTCAAACACTTGATGGATAAATAAATGTTGGTCAAATTTTGGGGTGCAACACCAGGGTCCTGCCCGACGGGGGGAGGAAGGTTCTGCACAGCGTCGTCATGGCGGGGGGAACTCATGATCCTAAAGTTTTGAGAGATGAAGTTTTGGTTCTCTGCTCGGAGGAACGGGGAAGCTTAGTTCCCACAGACGGCGCCACTGATCTGACCTGATCAGAAGAGGATCACGGGCTGGCCACACGCTGTTGGACTGCTACCTGTTCACCGGTGATGAGGAGGAGAAAGGGGGTGTACCTGCAAGACACTCTGATGCCAAAGTAAGAAATTGGGCAGAGTGAGAGCAAAGTACAGAAAGGGCAAGATGTGAATTACCTGACCCTCTTGTGAAAGAGGGTATTTATAGGTCCTGCCCGCAGAGAGGGAATGATCTTCCCGCGGAAGGATAAGGTCCTGCCCGCGGAGGGGGAGAAGGTCCTGCCCGCGGACGGGGAGAAGGTCCTGCCCGTGGCGGGGGAGAAGGTCCTGCCCGCAGAGGGTAAGGTTCTGCCCGCGAAGGGGGAGAAGGTCCTGCCCGCGGAGGGGTAGAAGGTCCTGCTCGCGGCGGGGGAGAAGGTCCTGCCCGCGGTGGGGGAGAAGGTCCTGCCCGCGGAGGGGGAGAAGGTTATGCCCGCAAAAGGTAAGGTCCTGCCCGCGGAGGGGGAGAAGGTCCTGCCCGCGGTGGGGGAGAAGGTCCTGCCCGCGGAGGGGGAGAAGGTTCTGCCCGCAAAGGGTAAGGTCCTGCCCGACAGGGGCAGTGTCTGGCCGACGGAGGGAGGTTCTGCCCGACGGAGGGAAGGTTCTGCCCGACAGGGGCAGTGTCTGGTCGACGGGAAGTCTTGTGCTCGACACAGATGAGGAAGACTTGTTCTTCCAGACGGGGGCAGTGTCTGGTCGACGGGCAGTCTTGTGCTCGACGCAGATGAGGAAGGCTTGTTCTGCCCGACGGGGGCAGTGTCTAGTCGACGGGCAGTCTTGTGCTCGACACAGATGAGGATGGCTTCTTTGGGCCTTCTCCCAAGTGTATGTGGGCTGGACCTTCCCGGTCAGGCCGGGGCCAAGGCTAGAACAAATATTAATAAAAAATATAATTAACTTTTTACTTATAATGAAGAGCCAAATAATAATAAGAAATAGGTAAGTTTTACAAATGAAGCAGGGAGTAACCACTCAACTAACTACTATACTAGTATTGGTATTAAGAATATTTTAAAATTTTATTATTTTTAGCAGAATGAGAGAACCAAAGACTCAAGACAAAGAGACACTAGGCAACACGCCTCACAGATAATCTAGATCAATCAAAACTAAGAAAGCGTTTTAACTTTAATACACTCATCACTATTTTTACTTTAGCTAAGAAATCAACACACTGAGTAATCTCTCTAAAATTATGCTTAAATTGAACTTCCTCAAAATAACGAAATAGGCTCCACATTTAATAAAAAAGTCGTTTTTGACTGTCAGTAAAAAGTCTCTTTTCTATTCATTCAAATTAATATGAACTTATTATCTTCTTTTTCTGATAAGATAGAAATTTATCTTTGAAGTACTATATTCATAAAAAATTTAAATATAAATAACTATTTCAACATAAATGCTTTAAAAATTAAATTTACCAAGTTATACATATGTCAAAAATTAAAGACACGTTTGAATTCTAATATTCTATGGAAAAAAAAATGCTGGTTTGCAATCACGTTATCAATATCATAAAAGCTATGCTACGCTTACATAAATTTATTACACCGTATGCCTTTACACCGTATACATATACATTATTTAGTGCTGCACAGAAATCAAAATGAAAAAATAAATAATTAAAAAAATAATAAAGGTTCATTTAGTGTATAAATTACGGTGTATATGTACACTATAGTGTCAAAGAAGTATTTCTCATATCATAAAGCTAGTATAAATTATTCCACATCACTATTATTTTTAAAATAATTAAAAAAATTAACTAGTAACTAAATTCCTAAATTTCTTATCTATACTATATAAAAGGAATATTTTGTTTTGATGTTACTGATATTTTTATTATTTTTACTCTTATATTATTATATAATTTATTTAATATGTTCTTATTCTAAATTTTTACATAATTTTTTATTATTAACTTACATATATTATATATTTTTAAAATTTTATTTAAACAAAAAATATTATTTATATTTTCATTTATGTACATTGAAAAAGCGGATAGATTGGCACGTGAATGAGTGTCCGTCTGAATCCTAATAAATCATAAATTAAATTCCCTTAACAGTTATTTCTTATATCTAGTAATAAAAATTCAGTTACTTATTCTTATTAAATATTTTTAAATCAAATAAATATTATACCAACAAAATATCATTCCTTATGAGAAAATAAGAGATAATCGTTTATAAATAATTTTACACAATTATTTAAAATAAATTTTATTTATAAAATAATTTTACATTATCATTCAAAATAAATTTTATGGTATTATACTATAATTTAAAACGATGATATTTTATTGACAGTGCGTAAAATTTCTTTACACCTGGTGCATGTCTATTAAACTTTAATGATAAATATCTTTTTGTTTTTTTTATAATAATGAGATGAGATAAAAGAATAAACTTTCTTTGGTGAATGAAAGAAAAAGAAACACTATTTAGAAACAATCTCTTACAAATAATTGAAAGTTGAAAGTTGGAGACAAAAAATTTCTCCAAAAACTCAATCATGGCACCATTCATTCATCCTCATCTCCAATCTCTTGTCGCCAAAATGACTCTCTTTGACACCATACTCTTCTATGTCAGTTTCTCAAAACTCTATCTATATATGTGTCTCTTTTTGTATGATTTTGCAATTTCTGTTCAAAGTTTTATTTATGTTTTAAGATAGTTTTTTGTGATATGAAAGTGTATATTCTATAGTTTATAGTGACTGGCATTGTATTTTGTAATGATGATGTTGAATTTTGAGTTTATGAATAGGTGATACATTTTGTGGACAAGGTTTTGTTGTGGCATAGGCTTCCAGTGTTGTTGGGGTTAGCATATTTGGGAATTAGGAGACGTTTACACTATCGTTACAATCTGTTACATGTTGGAGGAGAGAATGGTGTCAATTATGATAAGCAACACTATGCGTATCGGACTGCGGCGGGTACCTGTAATGACCCCGACGATCATTTGGTTGGTAGTCAGGGAACTTGTTTCGGTCGGAATATGCCTCCAACTGCGTTAAATTATGGGGTAATTGGAAGATAGTCGAGTTAATCGATGTTATTTTGAAGTTTTTTTTTGTTAATTTGTTGATGATGAATATTGTGTGTGTGTGTGTGGCGCGTGTGCAGCTGCTTGATCCTCATCCTGCTGTGGTGGCATCGAAGCTTTTAGCAAGGAAGAGTTTCGTAGACTCGGGGGATCAATTCAATATGATAGCTTGTTCATGGATACAGTTCATGATTCATGATTGGATTGATCATTTGGAGGACACTGAACAGGTCTTGTGTTTTCAGCATAATTTCTTGCAATTTTTAGCATATAGTACTTTCGATCTTAGCATAATTTCTTGCGATTTTTTGGAGCAGGTGGAACTCAGTGTTCCTGATGAAGGTTTCGCAAGTGGCTGTCCTCTGAAGACTTTCAAGTTTTTTAAGACTAAGAAATTCCAAACCGGTTCTTCGCAAACGAAGTTTGGCTTCCAAAACACCAGGACTCCGTGGTGGTAAGTAGAACATCTCGATACTAAATCTATTATCATAAGAGTTTAATTCGTAACGATTCTCAGCGTGAGTGTATTTTTGGTGAGTGAATTATTAGGGATGGAAGTGTGATATATGGGAACAATGAGAAGGGAATGAGTAGAGTGAGAACATTCAGAGAGGGAAAGCTGAAGATCTCAGAAGATGGACTTCTTGAGCATGACGAGAAGGGTATTCCTGTGTCGGGTGATGTTCGAAATACATGGGCAGGTTATTCCCTTCTGCAGGCATTGTTTATCAAAGAGCATAATGCAGTGTGTGACATGCTAAAAGTAAGTCAAATTCTTTTCATCTGTTGCATTAATTGACTCCATTTGCTGCTTTTGCGGTCACTTTTTGCATTGAAAAGTAATGCAATTAGTATTGTTTTTCTTTTCTTACAGAAACACTATCCTGATTTTGATGACGAGCAACTCTATAGGTATGCAAGATTGGTGACTTCAGCAGTCATTGCGAAAATCCATACAATTGATTGGACTGTAGAGCTCTTAAAAACCGATACTCTTCAGGCGTCGATGAGGATCAACTGGTAAGTCTAAAATAGCATTGCAGAAAGATGTACTTTGAAGAAGACTAAAGAAGTTGTCGATGCAGCCATAGTGAAACTTTTTATTTTTCTTTGGCAGGTATGGATTTTTTGGGAAGAAATTCAAAGACTTATTTGGAAACATTTTCGGACCAGAACTTAGTGGATTAGTCGGTCTTAAGAAGCCACGAGATCATGGAGTTCCTTATTCACTTACCGAAGAATTCACAAGTGTTTACAGAATGCACACGCTCCTACCTGAGGAGCTTGTTCTTCGAAAACTCAAGCCTGCAACAGGCGCCAACAAATCTCTTCCAATACATGAAAAGTATACTCTTATCCCTCAATTATTCTAGTTTTGCACCTAAGATTTAAGAGATTTTTATGTTTCTTCTTGCATTGCGCATAAAGCAAAAACATGAAAACATTAAGTACAATTGCATATACGTCTTTTAGGGTGCCAATGGCAGAATTGATAGGAAAACATGGTGAAAAGAGGCTGTCAAAAATAGGAATGGAGCAAATGTTAGTATCCATGGGTCATCAATCATGCGGTGCAGTTACTTTATGGAACTTTCCTTCATGGCTAAGAAACCTCATTTCACATGATATTGACGGAGAAGAAAGACCTGATCCAGTTGACATGGCTACTATGGAAGGTAGTGTAATGCATTACATTTTGCAAGCATGTTTTTGTAGTTTATAGCTTTATATTATGATTAACTTGTTCTAAACCGATGAGTCTTCTTCTATTTCTATCAGTTTATAGAGATAGAGAAAGGGGAGTACCGAGGTATAATGAATTCAGAAGAAACTTACTGATGATCCCGATTAGCAAGTGGGGAGATTTAACCGACGATGTAGAGGTCATTGAAGCTCTCAAAGAGATATATGACAATGACGTTGAGAAGCTTGACTTGATTATCGGTCTTCACGCAGAGAAGAAGATAAAAGGATTTGCTATAAGTGAAACTGCTTTCTTTATCTTTGTGATCATGGCTTCAAGGTAAGTTTTCATCTCTATATAGTATGCAACTAAAATTAGATTTGGAATCTTATGCTTTTATGTGGTGATTATGGTGTTTAGGAGGCTAGAAGCTGATCGTTTCTTCACGACAAATTTCAACGCAAAAACATACACAAATGAAGGGCTTGAGTGGGTGAACAAAACAGAAAGTTTGAAGGATGTTATTGATAGGCACTTCCCTGAAATGACTGAAAGTATGATGTCAAGCTCTAGTGCATTTACTGTGTGGGATGCAAAGCCTGATCCTAAGAAATTATTACCGATATATTTGAGATAAGCGACACAAAAATAATGTTTGATTTAGAAAAAATTGTGTAACTTAGTCACAGTTTTACTCCCATACTCATAGCTTAATAAAGCCTTTCAGAATGTTTTCTTTGTATTTATGTCTTTTAACTTGAGTATAGTTTACTGCTCTATAGCCCATTTGACAAGGTCAATTTTTTTGTTACAGTTCATGCTCCTTCTTTCTAATACCTGAAAAGGGCAAAGTATAGATTTGACCTGTTACTCTTTCTTACAAATCTTACAAATTGTTGTGATTCATTATTGGTCTCATTCTTTTTTCTTCTCGAGTTAACTGAGCCCCATCTTCCTCTTTAAGCTCTCGACCTAGTACGCAACTCAACTAGTAATTTCTTGGACGGCATAAATCAATTTTCAAGCTTTTTCAAAATTCAAAAGCAACACATATAAGGAAATATGACTTGCTGTGAAAAGGTAGATAGATAATAAACCAAAATTATTCTTAGTTTTGTTTGTAACAAGTTTCAATAAATAACAAACAACAAACATGCACAACTGCAGAACAACTGCAAACAAGCAGTAGTATTGATCTGGGCACAAACATAACACGCCAATGAAGTATTATTCTCTAAAGAGAAAATCAAATGAGGCCATCACGAATTTGAGGGAGGATACTCATATCAATTCCCTGTAATGCACTCAACAAAACTCTGGCACCTCTTAGAATGATATACAGTAGCACCATAACAGTTTACATTTTGAAACTCACAAAAACTACAAAATCAAGAGTGAATAACAATCAGAAGCTTGCAAGCAGCAAAAGTCGATTTTTGATATGAAGAAACAATCAGAAAATCTCATTTGTCTTTTAGGAAAATCTCCACTCTCCAACTTGTGGTGATAAGCACAACCCTCTTCATCAGTTTTTACTTTTAGAAGCATTGTATAGCAGAAATAAATATGAAATCCAACAAATGTTTCTTACTTCCCATTTACATCCTTGCTCTTCAGGGAGGGGTTATCTTCCAGACACGAATAAAAGCATCCTCGCCTGAGCTAACCAAACTATATTCATCAGTGAATACTAACCCGTAAACCCCACCTAAGTGAGCACCCTTTATGGTACTTCTACTGGACACAGGTTGGTCAACTTCATATACAATAATACATGTGTCAAGTGATCCTGTAGCAATCCTACTACTATCAGGGGACCAAGCAAGACAGTTTATACGTGCAGTATGGTACAGCATGTTCTTGAGCTTCACCTGCACAATAACATATATACATTTAAAAGCACTATAAGCAGTTAATTACATTATTACAGATAGAAAGCATTAATTGAAAAACCGGGTCCATGTTTCCACTTTGAAAGCAGAGAACTAAGTGAAAACAAAGGAAAAGTTTGTAATTAAAAGTGAAAACAGGAAATGAGAAAAAAAAGTTCTTAAACCAAAGCGGCTCTAAAGTAGTACTCACATCTCGGGAGGCACGGTCCCAAACAACAGCTTCTCGATTGACATCCCCTGATGCAAACATTGAAAAATCTGGAGAATACCTTATAACACTAACAGCACCCCTATGTTTCTCAAGGACAGCCTCTTCAATCAGTGTATCACCAGAAATAGAATATATGTGCAGTTTACCATCCTGCCCACCAATAATGGCTTCACTTCCATCAGGAGAGACAATGGATGCCGAAACAGTAAATTCAAGATTAATGGTTGACACAACTTTTGTGCCGCGCAGCATGACAACTCCTGAATCAATTGAAACTAGAACAAGTTCGGGAGATGAAAGTGAAATGCTAAAATCCTTTGGTTGAGTTCCTATATCAATGGCTTCAGCATCTCCACACTGATCCCCGTGTAAAGAAATCCTCCGTATCTGGTTCAGGAGAGAGGAAATGAAGGAGTAAGAGGAAGAAACCATTAGTTTTACATGATTTTGAAGGAGTTCCTAAATCATGTAAAACTACAAATGCTTAAGGAAATATAACGGCTACAAATGCGTGAACTAACAGGGCATATCAATTAAATCTATAAGTATCTTTGTTATTTTTTTCAAAACAGATCAAGAGGTTTAGCCAAATGCCTCATGGAAATTTCTACCAAACTTTTCAACCAATATATACTTAAATGGATAACACCACATACAAAGAACAAATGTATTATACTTAAATGGATAACACCACATACAAAGAGCAAATGTATTACTTATATACAAACGACAAGCAAGGTTGATTTACTATTTATTCAAATCATATTGAAGGAAATGAAAATAAAATAAAATGACATGATTATTATCACTCTCATATCCGACAAAGACTCTTAGTAAAACACTCACCTTGTTATCAAACCCAGATGTAACAATCTCTTCTTCTGCAGCTGCTAAGGATTTGATTTGAGAATTCTCCCTCCTTTGTAATTTACCACTATATCCAATCCCTTGAATCCACTTAACTACTAAGCCGTCATAACTACAAGAGAGGAGCACTCTAGGGTTACTTCTAAGAATGGTTAAGGAGGAAACATTTTTCATGTGTCCTGAAAACGATGTTGGGGCTTTATCAAGATCACTTGCTAAATAAATAGATATCGTCCCACCAAGAGAAACTGTGACAAGATAATCGTTCAACCATAGGCACCCTACTAGCATGTCTTCAATTCCACCAGAGCCAGGAGAAATCAATGTTTTCTTCACCTTCCCATTGTTATCCTCAGATATGTCCCACACTTTTGCAGACTTGTCAGCAGATACGGTTAGCACCTAAAGATGACATTATAACTGAAGATCAGATGTCTTACAGGGATGAAAGTAAAGTGACTTGCACAAAAATGACAACTAGAAAGAAATGCAAAGGGGGGAATAACAATTCTGCAAATACAAAGAGTTTAACATCAAACTCAAAAGTAAACTTGCACAAAAGCTTTGCTAATTGAACTGTGCAAACTATATATAACATTAAAACTGATATACCAAACATCTCCCAAAACTAGCAGTCAAAACATGAATGATCAGCAAGTAAAATTACAAATATCTATTGTTTTTAAATTTTCAAATAGGTCTAAAATCAATGTTTACAAAAAAAAAACATCTAATCGTGAAAGAAAATTTACCCAAAAAGACCAGATAACAAACAAACCAAACCATAAGGCAATGAAGCACGGATAGGTTACCCTAAATCTGTTGAATCCACCTGATACATACCGATACACCGCGATACATCGTCGATGTGTATCGAAGGAGTATCCAATTTTTTTTATTTAAAAGCAAAACAAAAAAGAAAAACTGATACGGCGTGATACGGAGACACGCTGCGATACACTGTTCAAATGCGGGTGATGCATGGTTCTTCTGCCCCTCTTCTTCAAAAGCTTTCTTTGAAGCTTCTTGTGCAACCTTGCATTTCATCTTCTTGTGGAAGGAATTGGGGTGCCTATTCAATTATTCATTCTTTAAAAAGAAATAAATAGAATCCTAAAAGGGCTGAAGACTTGGTCTATGTGCATAAATTTAGGCTTTTGGGTAGGAAAAGTGAAGAATACAAAGAAGGGAGTAATAAGATGTGGGACATTGGTGGAGATGCATGGGAAAGTTATGAAGGTGTTGGAGCTCTTCAGTTGCATTATTGTCTTTTGATGAACCAAATATGGAAGCCACTCTATTTACTTATGATGGTGAAGGAGGAGACGACTGTCACGAAATTTGGCTTGATGCCTTTCTCATTGCCTTTCATACTATATATAATAGTGTCGGTAATTACAACTCATAATAACTAATTATAGCTAATAATAACTAATTACAATTCATAATGACTAATTTCCTATTCTATGATTAATGTAAATTATTCACAATAACTGCAAAGATTATTTCCTAATTAACATCCCCCCTCAAATTGATGCGGCTGGTCAAGGAGCATCAATTTGCTAACAAGAAACTGATGTCTTGGGCGTGGAACAACCTTGGTAAGAATATCTGCAACCTGCAACTGCGTACTGACGTGAGGAAGTGATATTATTCGATCATCGTAGGCGTCACGTATTGAATGACAATCAACTTCGATATGTTTGGTGCGTTCATGAAAAACAGGATTTGCAACAATTTGGATGGCACTTGTATTGTCAGCATAAAGTGAAGTTGACTCTGTTTGGGGAAATCCAAGTTCAGCCAAAAGACCACGAAGCCAAAGTATTTCTGAACACGCAGCAGACATGGCACGATACTCTGATTCAGTAGAAGATTTAGAAACTCTTGCTTGCTTCTTACTTTTCCAAGAGATCAATGAAGAACCAAGAAACATACACCAACCAGTAACAGATCGACGAGTATCAGGACACCCTGCCCAATCAGCATCACTATAAGCGCTCAACTGAAGAGAAGTTCCAACGGAAAAGAATAATCCGCGGTGAGAGGTTCCTTTTAAGTAGCGAATTATACGACGAACTGCAGCCAAGTGAAGATGGCGAGGAGAATGCATGAATTGACTTACTTGTTGAACAGCAAAAGATATGTCAGGGCGAGTAATAGTCAAGTAGTTGAGGCTACCCACAAGTTGTCGATACAATAAGGGATCAGGCAACAGATCCCCATCATCACGATGATATTTAACATTAACCTCAAGAGGAGTATCTACTGGATTAGCCGATTCAAGACCGGCCATAGAAATCAAATCTGTAGCATACTTGTGTTGATGGAGAAAGATGCCCTTGGATGTAGAATGAACCTCAAGACCAAGAAAATAATGTAGATTACCCAGATCTTTCATATGAAATGAGGCCTGTAGCTGTTGCTTAAGTCGCTGAATAGAAGCATGATCCAAACCAGTAATAACCATATCATCAACATACAAAAGAAGCAGAACAATACCCGCAGATGTGCTATGAATAAATAAAGATGAATCATACTGACTCTGAGTAAAGGAGAATCCAAGTATAGTGGCGCGGAATTTCTCGTACCATGCTCGAGGTGCCTGTTTCAAACCATATAAGGAGCGTTTAAGCTTACACACGCCTTTAGATGAAGAGAATAAGCCTTGAGGTGGAGTCATATAAATATCTTCTGTCAGGTCACCATGAAGAAAAGCATTCTTCACATCCATTTGATGAAGAGTTCACCCATTAGAAGCAGCTATAGACATGATTGTGCGGACAGTTGTCATTTTGGCAACCGGTGCAAATGTCTCATCATAATCAATTCCATATTCCTGCTTGTTTCCTAACGCAACCAAACGAGCCTTGTAACGGTTGAGGGACCCATCAGAATTCAGTTTCACAGAATACACCCATTTGCAACCTATAGGTTTTACATTTGGAGGACAAGTGACGATATCCCATGTGAAATTCTCTTGAAGAGCTTGGAGCTCTTCAGTCATTGCTTTTATCCATCGCACATCTTTAACAGCCTGTGAGTAACAAGTAGGAATAGATATGCTAGAGAGTGTGGCAGTCAAAGAAGTATGTGAGGAATCATACCTGTCTGGTGAATATCTATCTGGTGCGCGGGATATTCGACTAGAACGTCGTGGTTCAACCGGTACAGGATCAGGTGGCAGTTCAGCATCGGGAAGGGGTGTGGGAACTTGTTGTCTGTGTTTTCTGACATATACATGACCTGGTTTATAACGTTCTATAGCTTGAGGCATAATAGAAAACTTAGGAAGAGTAACAATATCATTAATGGCAGGAGAACCACAGGGAAACATAAACTGATTATCAAAAAATGTCACATTTCTAGAAATGCGAAAACGATGGTTAGAGACATCATAACACACAAATCCCTTATGAGAGTTACTATATCCCATAAATGCACATTGAACGGATTGTGCTCCAAGCTTATGCCTTTCAAAAGGAGGTAAGTGAACAAAACACACACACCCAAAAGTATGTAAAGCACTATAATCAGGATGAATTTTAAATAGACGGAAGAAAGGAGAATCAAGATCAATAACTGTAGAAGGAATACGATTGATCAAGAAGACAGCCGTGGAAAGAGCCTCCACCCAAAATCGGGATGGTACAGAAGCTTGGAGAAGTAACGTGCGTGTTACATCAAGCAAATGACGATTCTTACGTTCTGCCGTGCCATTTTGTTGAGGGGTATTGGGACAAGACCGTTGAGACAAGATGCCTTTTTGTTGAAGGTATTCCTGAAACTCATGAGACATGTACTCACCACCAGAGTCAGATCGAAAAATTTTAACACTTGCTTGAAATTGAGTTTCAACATATGTCAAATATTTCTTAAACATAGAAAACACTTCGGATTTAGAACGGAGAAAATATATCCAAGTAAAACGACTATAATCATCAATAAATGTGACAAAATATTTATAGTGAGCATGAGAAACCACAGGAGACATTCCCCATACATCACTATGAATCATCTCAAAACAAGTGGAAGCACGATTAGCACCAGACGGAAAAGGAAGTGTCTTACTTTTAGCCAATTTGCAAACAGAACATGAAACAGAGGCATCAGGAATAACATTTTTATTTCCCAACAAGCCACTTTTACATAAATGAGACAAAACATAAGAGTTTGGATGACCTAGTTTTCTATGCCAATCCTCATAAGAATTCAAAACATTATGACAAGCAAGAGACAAATGATTAGAAATAAACTGTATTGGAAACAATCTTCCCACTTTATGCCCCTTCGCGATCACTTTCCCCGACACCTGCTCCTGCACAAGACAACCAGATCGAGAAAAATTAACATTACAATTATTGTCCACCAATTGACCAACAGACAATAAATTAGAAGCAAGTCCAGGTGAGACAAGCACATTCTGAAAATCCGAGTTTATGTCCCCAACGTTAGTGATAGACAAGGTATTACCATTAGCAATCTGAATTTTCTGATTACCATGATAAGAATGTAAATTGTGCAAGTTTTCAGATGAACCTGTCATGTGATTGGATGCACCAGAATCAATAAACCATGGACGAGAAACATGAGAAGACTTACCCTTAATACCCAAGGCTGAAAGGGCAGAAAGTACCATGTGTTGAATCATTTCAGGTTGTAGAGCATTGTCATCTGATGCACCAGTGGTGGAAGAGCCAATTGTATGGCCTGTAGTGGCATGAAATGCCTTCACCGAATGATGTGCTGGTCGTGGAGGACGCGTGGGACAGTCAGAAATGATATGACCTTGTTGTTTGCAATAATTACAAAACTTCTTACTGCAACTACGAGCAATATGTCCAAACTGTTTGCAAGAAAAACATTGGACATGTTGCATATCACGACCTTTATTTCTACTTTGAGCAGCATATGCAATTGCCACAGGCTCAGAACTGACAGTATCATGAGACATGGTTCCTTGAGTAAGGAGACGTTGTTCCTCCCTGAGAAGTTCACCAACACATGTATCCAAAGAAGGAACAGGATTCCTATTTAGCAAAGCACCTCTGACAACCTCAAATTCTAGACGAAGCTTCATGAGGAATTGATCTCGCCTATTTGTGTTGTAGACCTCTTGAACAGCCGCAAGAGAGGTCTTGGGAACATTAGCATGTATAATAGCAGAGTGTTCTGCCCAAAGATTTAAAAAACCAGAATAGTATTCTTGAATAGACAAATCACCTTGTTTGTAGTTGGCGATGTCTAACTCCAACTGAAAACGTTTTGCCGAATTGTCCTGGTTGTAAATGCGCTTCAGATAATTCCACATTTCTTGAGCAGTTGAAAAAGAACGCAAATTATTTATCATCTGAGGATCAATACTGTTTAGAATCCAAGTGATAATTTGAGCATCTTTAGTTTCCCACGCATCTAAAGCAGTTTTCTCCGTTGGTGCCTTAGAAACATCATCTAAGTGACTCCATAATCCCTTTCCTTTAACATACATCTTGAACTGAAATTCCCATGCCGAATAATTCTTGCCGGTAAAACGAACACAAAAATTATCTCTTTCTTTTTCGGAAGCCATCTAAATTATTAAACCACCAGATACAATCTCACTAATATTATTTTATTATTATTATTATAATTATAATTATAATAATAATAACTATAATATAATAACAGTAACTGTAATCACAGTTACTAGAGCAGCAACAAGAAACAATACCCACGAACCAACGAACAACAGCACGATCAAATCCACGATTTGGAAGGAGCGGCAAAATAGAAGATTATGACGATCCAGAATCACGAAGCAACAACAGCCAAGAACCAAAAAAAATTGATTGCAATATCAGCGCAACAACGAGAATCTCCAAGACGAAATCACGAACCGGCAACCAAAGATTTAGAATCTCAGACTGCAGCAAGGTTTCGATTTCAAACGAAAGAATTTCGAAACGAACACGATTACGAGAGCGAACCAGTGGGGTATCGCTGATCAGCCAATATAATAATATTTTCCAGGTTTGATCGAACCTACTGATACCATGTCACGAAATTTGGCTTGATGCCTTTCTCATTGCCTTTCATACTATATATAATAGTGTCGGTAATTACAACTCATAATAACTAATTATAGCTAATAATAACTAATTACAATTCATAATGACTAATTTCCTATTCTATGATTAATGTAAATTATTCACAATAACTGCAAAGATTATTTCCTAATTAACAACGACATCATCGATACTATTTCAATATCTTAGTTTAGATTTAATATTTAGTAATGTGTTAAAAGGTGTGTTTTGAGTTTGGGTTTTGTTAGACAATGATTTAACTAATGTCTAGTTAATTTGTATATATGCTTAAACGTTTTGTATATATTTTTCAATGAGTGACATATTGCCGTATCGAACATGTATCCTATCCGATACCCATATTGTGTCCGTTCTTCACCATTTACAAAATAAAATACGTGCAGAAATGGCTAAGATTGAGAGCAATATATGGAAAAGTAAATATATGTTAAGCTAGCGAGAGAACTAAATGCAAAGATGTATTTTGGAACAAATTCATATTCCTTAGCTCTTAAAACTTGTATGCACCATAATATGCCTTCAAAATGTTACTGCAGCAAAGTAATTATAGGAAACAAGTTGTTACTACAGGTCTTTTACTTCATCGCATTTTTCTTAGTTTATAGCAGTATGTTAACTTCTAAAAGAAAAAACAAGTCAAGTGATCAACATCATATATTGAAAAGGAGACGGAGAGAGATAAAGACTGGAAAATGGGATCAGTACATTGATGAGACCTGCCATAGTCAATAAAAAATTCTTGTAAGTCTTAGGTTAGCTTACTTGTTTTCCATCAGGACTCCAACTAACAGCATAAATACTGCCAGTATGGCCACCTTCAGAAGACAACTCCCCAATCTTCTCTCCAGTCTTTCCATCGAATATGATACCCTTTTTGTCAGAACTTACAGTTACAAATTTATTGCCATCTGGAGAATATCTTACACAATTGACAAAATTTGAATGATCCCTATACATAAAAAAATTATTATGATATCAGTCATTTATCAAGACTAATGTAATAGGCAGAAAGGACCAAAGATAATAACAACCCAAAATATATTAAAACGAAAATAATTGCACTTCCTTTAACAAAAATATGTTTTGAAGATCCAACAATTAAGATTTTTTTTTTAAACAACCAATGTTAGAAGTGTTAGAATTATGCTGGGAGTGAGGATCGGATTCTCAACCTCCTTATCACTCCACTCCTTAACTACCCCATCCCAGCCACTGTTGGCTGGCAAATTTCGACTAAGGAAAGAGAAGCTTGACATCACAAACGAAGAAGTCGAAGGAAGTTCGACGGAAGACCAAAGTCAGAGAGATATCGACGGACAATCCGTTAGAAGGAAGTCGAAGAAAGCTCGACAGGAAACCATTCTGATTGAGGTCGAAGGCAAGCAAAACAAGCAAGTTTGTAACTGACGAGAATGTGGGGGAGTTACACAAGGAGTGGGCGTACATGGGTGGACGCGTGGCAAGCTGTGGATGGCCAACAGCGAAGTAGCGGTTATTTCTTATGCCTATTTAAGTAGAACTTAGTTTCAGTTTCAAAGGTCGCATTTTGTAACATTGAAAAGAATACTCAAAGTATCAACGTCTAAGAGAAACGAGTCATTTCTACACAAATGTATGCATGCGTCCAACTGACATTTCAGCAATTTATTTCATAAGTCTTTGTTTTAGTTCATTTCTCTTTGCAATTTTTGTCTTATTTTCTCATTGATTTACCTCAGTGGTACGAACGCAGTTTCTTTATCTACCATTCCAAACCCAAACACTCAAGCAATCATTCTATACTTAACACTTAGTCTAAGATTTTGTAGCCGATCCTGCAAGTAACCTTTAATAAGAGGCTAGAGATTGTTCGCCGGAAATCCAGGCGAACAGCCACAAAGCCAGCCTTATATCTTCTTAGACTTTTTTCTTTATGTATAGAATTTATGGCAATATGCAAAATGCTGGGTTGCATGATTTCATTAAGAAGCTTACTTTTAATGCCATGAAAAGGAATGACATTCATTAAGTTATCTCAAAAGATCAATTTACCCTAAAAAATGCACAGAAAGTTATCAGGTATAGGGGAGAAGAAAAAGCAAAACATGATCAGTGTACATATGCAACAGAATGAATCATTGTCTAAAAAGAGCATATGACAAAGAATAGTGTAGATTAAAAGAGTACAACACCATTGAATTCCTCATACCATACCTGTGAGATTGCTTAAATCTAAATGGCGGTCCTTCATAAAAATTCACAAGAAAATCCTCTCCACAGGTGACAATTCGAAAAGGCCTAGTGGGTTTATATGCACAACTCAAAACTCTCCTCGAGTGTCCATCAAATTCACCAACATTAGTCCCAGAATCCCACCTATTGATCATTCAGTAAATATCATCAAGTAAAGAAGTACCATATAGAAATGATCAAAAGTATTCAGTCAAGCATACATAGCAAAAGCATCAAAAACAGATATAATGAGTGCAAAATGAGATCAATAAATTAGAAATGTAAAAGTTTAATATAAGAAATGAATCCCTAATTATAGTAAATAGAAGTCAAATAGGCGACAACATGAGTCAAAATAGTTTGAATTGAGAAGAAAAAGAAAGGAAACAGTACATAAAAGCGCGAACAAAGGAGTTTCCTTTAGCTTCACCGCAAGCTACGATTCTTATCCCATCAGGTGACCACTGAAGATCATCGATCCGACCTGATAACACACGGAACTCCTTCTTCAAAACAAACTCGTTGCGGGTTCCCCAGATCCTCACCGTGCCTGACACGTCAGCAGATGCAACCCACTCACCGTTGGGGGAGAATCGGGCGACGGTGGCAGGGTAAGCGTGTTCGCCGTAGACGGAGACTTGAAGGGGGTTTTGGAGGTTCATCATGACAACGGATCTAGCATTAGTGTAGAGGATGGAGTTGGACTTAGAGTCGCCGGAGATGAGAATTCCTCGGCCACGCTCGGTGGACGGCGTGCAGGCGTAAGTCTCCGATAACTCCGGGTGGCTCATGGTGGTGTTCGTGGTTGAAAAGATTGAAATTGAAGTGAAGGAGAAAGAGAGACGAAGTGCAGTGCACGATCAATTGTCTAGTAACACTATTTTTTTTCAAAAGTACTTGTTGTTTAATAAAATAAATCTATTAAAATTAGATAAAATTATATTAACGATATATAAAAAAAAATAAAGTATAAATTAAATGTCTTTTATTTTTAATATACTGTCAATGTTTACACAGGATTAATAGCTTATCATAACAGAACATTAAAAAACACAATGTTTTGGAGTATATAAATTCTACATTTATAAATGATTTATATATAAATTCTCAATTCTCTTTGCGAGTATTGATCATATTTTTTATAAATAATTTCAAGTAAACAATAATATTTATATACGGTAAAAGAATTATAAATTTTATATTTATATTTTATTAAAAAAATGTTTATACACGGAAAAAATTGTTGTTCTACTTACATTTTATTTTCTACAAGTATATTTTTGAAAAAATAATAAATTCTTGTGATGGAGGTATTTTATCTTTTTTATTATTGTATTTATTATATTTTGAAATTGATTTTAAATAATTGGTGTATAATTGATTTTTGAGTTTATTATTTTTTTAAATGGATTAAACTAAAAAAATTTAATTTTTTTTTAAACATATGATTAATATCCATTGTATAAATATCATTAAATATATTTTATTATGTATTAAATATTTATAAAAAATATTGATAAATTTAATATTTTATTCTAGAAATGAGTCAAATATTAATATTTGAAATTTCAAATTCATTTTGAAAAATCGTTAATCATTTAATTTTTTTACTTAACTATGATTTTTATGGATATCCCACAAAAGAGATATTTTTAATAATGTTTACATAAATTAAGAGATTGTAAAAGAAAATACATATTTACGGTTAAAACTAAATTACCGAAACAGAAAAATTAAGTCATTAAAAATATAGAAAAACATATGAGACATACATTTTTATACACAAGAAAATTTTAAATATTTTAGATTGAACTATATTTTTATATATGAAAAAAAAGTGTATGGATATCCACCGATGTCATCAAAATATTTTTATAAATGATTGTATAAATATTATAAAAAATATCAACTGATGTCTGCGGATATCGATTCTATCTTTTTTAAAATATTAATTATATTTTTTATATTTATTAATTTTTATTAATCATATTTTATTTTCAAATTTTAAATATAGACAAATACGTTTCATCATCCCGCTAGTTTATCATACAAATAATATTACTATGAAATTTGTAATAATTGTAATTCACATAACTCTTGTTGCATATAACAAATACCATAGGAAAAAAAATTCTCCAAATTCAAGATTTAAAACACCGTCACCTTTTTGATTTGATTTTCTTAAATCAGATTAAAAAAACCTAAATAAAAAGTTTCGGCATTTGTTCAAGATACAAAAACCACCACCACCCTATGTTTCGGTTTCAGCGCCTATTCTTTCAGAAGTCACACAATGTTTTTCCCTCTTCCTTTGTCTCTTGAAGAAGGGTTTTTCATGAGCATGTCTTCTTTTAAAAACAGAGAAAGAAGAAGATCTAAGGAGAAGAAGGTGGGTTTTAGGAAGAGAGGACAAAAAGAGAGGAATGAGTAGGTAATAGAAAAGGCCAATAAAAATAAATTCAACTAGATTGCCACGTAGGTAAAAATTAACGACTTTTTTTTTTTTTTTAAATTTAACAGAAAAGACTAAATCGACTACTGGAAGTGTTTTAAGGGACTAATTTGTAATGTTTTTTAAATAAAGAACTAAAGCGAAATTTTAAATTAAGTTAAGAGACTAAACCAGGTATTAAACCTAATAATTTATAATTTCCTCCAAAACTAGCCGAGAGAAGTCACAATATATTCTGAGTTTTTCAGTCAAATATTGGACCCTTTCCATCTTCGAGAGGTCCACCTTTTAAAGTAGGTCCTCCAAATAAAATTGGATTTAAAAATCTAGCTTGCCCGACCAAGGTGACGGGTCGGCGGGCGGCATACTTGTCCGCTTATTTATTTATGTATTTATTTATTTTCATTTTTAATAGATTAACAAATTTTCTTTATATTTCAATTAAATTTTTCACTTATTTTTGAAAAAATTTGTTTATAAAGCATCTTTTAACAAATTTTACTTAAAAAATATTGTATATATTAAAAAATAAGTGTATAAAATAAAACCATCAAGAGTTGAAATGACTAGAATTAACTAAAATAACAACTAAAAGTCTAAAACTATCAAGAAATTTCACCTAAAATAAAACTATCAACAAGAGTTCCAAAACTATAATTCAAGTATTAACCTTCAACCAACAAAAATAAATATTTTGAGGGCTTGGTAACTGGGTTGGCGGGTCAACCCGCTCTTTTTTAGGCTGGCTTAAGACGGGGTGAGCTGAACCGGTAGGAGGGCACAAAATCACAAACCAACCCACTATATTTTGGCGGGTGTGCGGGTCGACCTTGCGGGCCACGACCCGTTTTTCCATCTTTATTTTATAGTTTCTCTCATTAATGGAATAGTAATATCGCATTTCTGCTTAACATTGTTGTCGTCATGATACATGTGGTGATAACCGAGGTGTGCTAATACGGGGAAGAAATCCTAGATGTACATACTTTTGTACCTGACCGGAAAGATATCCTGGATGTACATAGACCCCCGAGCACAAGGCGTGAAGTGGCTAAATGCTTAAGTTTATTGTCGCTGTGATACATGCAGTGATTTCCGAATTGGGGCTACCACAACCAAGCTTTCGAGTATCCGTCCCGGATATGCGACAGGTTTTTCTAGGGGTGAGAAACTAGTTTTATTAGGGTAAACATCTATGAAGAACTTGGTCTGGATTTTTCTCTTGTTCGTGGACCATTGTGCCAGGATAAAATGTTTAGTTTTCCAAATTGTTTATTTTTGCACAAAACCTTTTGTATTCCTGTAATGATTACTTTTTATTAGGAGTAAACACCATCATTATACATATTGTCTAGTGAATGTTCTCCTAGCCATAAAACCTAATGGCTAGCGCCATCATTGCTTTTTTTTTTATTTGTTTACTTTATCTTTTTCTTTCTTACTACCTTGCTCAGTTTTAGCAAAAAAACTCTTCTTGCTCCACTCTTATTTTGCTCAAATACAATTTCTTATTCTCCTCAAGTATTTTATTTTTCCTTTATTATTGTTTCGTCTTTACCATTCCATTTAAAATGGTGGTTATTCGTGAGTGTGACGAGATGGGTAAGGTGATTGCTCCTACAACTGCTTCAAAGAGGCGTTGTTTATGGGATAAATATGTAGAATCATTTAGGTATAGGTCAGGTAGCATTGATTGGAGTTTTATAAATAGGGAGGTTTATGGGGATTTCGATAACCTTTATTTTTCTAGTGACACTAACTTAGTGTCTTATTCCTCAGGTTTGATCGAGATCACCATAAAGCTCTCTCACGCATCTTTCAATCTGGAGGTATTGAAGTATGAATCATACTTGGGACAAGATTACATAGATATGTTTAGGGGAGGACTTTATATTTCGAATACTGGTGAAAAATGTAATGTTATACTTGAACCTTGTACTCTCAGTGAGAAGGTGTGCATGTACCATCCACCTAGGTCTCCAAACGAAATTTTTTATTTCTACGAGGATATGTTGGATACCCTCTGGGTAGGGATCCCATTTACTGACTTTGAGGCCGACTTGCTAACCGCCTTGAATATCACTCCTTCAGAACTTCTCCCAAATACCTTGGGATTTGTGAGAGCTTTTGAAATAGTGTGTCGTACATTACCCTACCGTGGGTATTTTCCTTTCTTTTTATGAAACCAAAGGAGTTGGAAGTGGGGGTTAAGTGTCTTTTTCAGAGACTCTTTGCCGAGGTCTGTTCCAGGTGTATACCTCGAAATTTAAAAACTTTAAAGAAAAATTTCTAAGGGTAAGAGGTGGTGGTAAATGCCCTAAAGTTATTTATAATAAGAATGGGTCTCACTGATTTCTTCTCTGTTGAACACAAGATCCAGTTTCTGTTAAAGGCTTTTAAGCTTATTAAGCTAAGTGAGTTAGACCGATAAGTGGTGGAGATTTTTTATGCTTTTGGTGTAACACCCTAAAAAATCCCGCGTAAATTAAATAAAAATATTATAGTAAAATTAAAACATAAGACATTTAGAATGCTACTTACAACAAACACTGCTCATATATCTTGATATGTAACACAATACTATTAAAAATTGTTAATAATAATAGTAATGATAAAACATGTAGGAATTTCAAATTTCATTATTAAGCAGCGGAAAACATCGCCATCAACTAATTATTCAGAACATAATAATGTTTTCAAAATAAACATAAATAACCGCAACTCAAGGGATATCCAAAAATATCCAAATCACATAAAAGACATGAAATGTTGCATAACCCCAGTGTTACACATCAAAGCAGATGCCGACACTAAAATAAAATGGAAGACTTTATCTTTCACTCACATAAACTCTTTTGCTGCGAGTTATCTACACGATGCCCGTGTAAAGGCAACATTCAAACAGAAGGGGTGAGATATCATAATTATATAAAGGAAAGCATTACAATAAGCAAGCATCGGATTATTACCTGCATAATCACCTATTCCACAACATACATCCATACAATCAATACAACCACTATTTAAACACAACAACAAATGCAATCAATATGCAATGCAATAGACTCTTAACTCAACTCAATGCATGTGTTACCATTCAGTTCCCTTTAGAACTCGATTCCTATTTCAGAATCATAATTCCCGTCAGAATTTCCATTACGTCACTCACACCTCATTGGACACACGACCTCCACGATCGCTCACACCCATCGGGCACACGATCCATCCACAACATACGATTCTACAACTAGAATCCGGATAAGACACTCACACCTCACTGGGCATACAACTTATCTCACAACTCGACATCATGAATGCATGCAAAAACAATGCCAAGTA